GCTGATTGGTTTCTATGCAGAAGTGAGTCTGATTTTGCACTCTCCAGCTTTAGTAAATAAACCCCTAACTGACACTAATACCAATTTAAAAAAAAAAATCCTGACCTTTGACCCAGACCTTTTGACCTTGACCCAAACACTTACCCTGGCACTGAAGTAGATCAAACCTTGATCTAGGTATTTTTTTCTTTATTTTTTATTTTATTTTTTAATATATATTTATTTATCTTTTTTTTTTTTAACAAACATTTTTCCCCCTCTATGACAGGAGTTAGAGAGATACAATGTATCTCTCTCTTCCATTCATAGAGAGAAAACAAAAACAAGGGGGCCGGGCTGTACAGTGTCTGATCACTGTGATAGCCAATCAGAGGCTATCACAGTGATCATGTGACCCGGAATTGGGAGTCCCGGGGTCCCGATCGTTAAAACGGGACCTGAGGCTCTCAGTGACACCCCGGTCTTTGTGCTGGGAGGGCACAGTGCGGCACGCTCCCAGCACAAAGACAGGTATGCAAATATGTGGCCTCACGGAAAAAAAGCCCAGTTCTGTGAGTCCGCATATTTGTGTTACATGGGCGTCAAGGAGTTAACAATGCTTCCAGGTACAAGAAAAGAACATATTTATGGTGTAGGACTAATAATTCTAAAGACATTAAAAGTTTTGGGGCTCACACCTTTTGTTCCAATGTACCAGAACTGCTTCCTAGTGATTATCTACTCAAGAACTAAGCATTGTCACATGGGGGTGACATGGGGAGTCCTTGTAAGTTGCAACTGACAGTGGCTAAATGAAGCAGCAGTAGAGCGAATGGAAACCCAAATTAAAAAAGTCAAAATTTTGTTTGCTTATAATTCCATAATGAATACATTTGTAATCATTATTTGGTGATGCTGCCAGCAAGAACTATACCCTGTGACTTCTGGAAATAGGGTCGTAATGCTCACTTAAATGTGTTGTCTCCCTATTCTACATGATCCTGATGAAGGCTACAGTGGGTGCACCAATGCACAGGATACATGCATTGCTCTGCTATTGCTTCCCCATTTAGAACTGCTGAAGTATGTGATGCAGTCTTGGCAAGGTGGCATGCACCTGCAGCTAAGTAGTGTGCATATTTGCCAGCAGTTACCTGCGAAAAGTTGACTTATACTGGGCATGAAAAAGAAACAGTCAGGGCGATCCTGCCTACATAATAGTACATTGCTAACAGAGTAATGTTTGATGACCGTTGAGTTCTACATTAGGTGTTTCTGTTGCTGTGACTTGCAAAGTACAGGTTTCCTTTAAGAGTAAATTTTTTTAATGTAGTATTAGCAAAAGAAACCTAAAAAGGCTCAGAGTGATGTGACCGCCGGTCACACTTCTCCGTTGCTGACTCACTGAAATGTGACATACCTTAATAGCATGTTAACCTTTTTTTTTAAACCCTTTCTGCTTGATCCACATCAGCGATCTCAACTGTTATATTTACCACTGTGCTCGTAAGACGCATTTAGAGAGCTCACACACTGGTGTTAAAATCCTAAAGTAAATGCTACCAACTCACCCTTTCTCAGCTCAGGCATGAGTCAACCTTTCCAGAAAATTGACGTTCCATTTGTTATTCCTCTGGGTCTCTATGGAGAAGCCTTAAAGGAGTTCTCCAGTCACGAACCAAAAGCTATTAATCTTTTATAATAAATTATGTTTAGTTGGCATTCATGTTTTTAACATAAGCTTCAGAGGAACGTTGATGTAATGGCCCATAAGTTATATAGGTGTGCATGTAACAATCTTGCAGGGGCTGGAATGAAATGTGCAATGGCTGTCTGAGCAGATACAAATATTTCTATCACATAGAGGTCACTGGGGCATCTTTTTATGCCAAACAGATCTTGCCAAATTAAAAACTAGACAGCAGTAGTGAGTGGAAATTCTTTTGCCTTAATTTTTATTCTTTTTTACTAAAATGAATCAAGGGAAAATATGGTGACTGCTATTGTTGAACTACCACATGCTGACCAGTCACATACCTGATAAGTCACTGGTCTTCGAGCAGTTGGAAATCTTGGCATTTTGAATGCTTGTAAGTGCAGAGGAGGGATTGGGGGTTTTATAGACACCAGATCCCTCCATAAAGAGTACATGTCACATGCCTATTGCTGTCACAATAACAGCAATAAAAGTGATTTAAAAAAAATTAAAGCAACAGCACAAAAATAATTTCAAAACATAAGTTAATAATTAAAAAAATAAAGGACTCCCACCCCCCCTGTTGTTGCGTGGAAAGGAGAACATACACATCAGTGTCACATGCAAACAGCAATTGTCCCACACATGTGAGCTATTACCGTAAAGCTCATCAGATCATGAGCAGTAATTCTAGCACCAGACCTATTGTGTAAATCTAAAGTAGTAACCTGTAAAAGCTTTTAAAGAGTTGCCTATGGATAGTAAAATTTATGTAGTTTGTCGCCATTGCATGGGTTTGTGCAATTTCAAAGCATGACATATTTGGTATCTTGTTACTCAGGATAACATCATCTTTTATGCTTTACAAAGAAAAAATTGGGTTACTATTGTATTATTTTGCATTAAAGTTTTAAAAAGTGTATTTTCCCCAAAAAATTACATTTGCAAAACTGCTGCGTAAATATCGTGTGACATAAAAAATTGCAAAACCCACCAATTTATTCTTTAGGGACTGTGCTTTAAAATATATAATATTTGGAGGTTTTAAGTAATTTTCTAACACAAAAAAAACCTAATTGTTATATGTGAACAAAAAGCCTTGTCCTTAAGCGGTTATAAAGCTATTTGCCTGGATAACTTGATCCAAGAAAAAGAATTAAGATCAAAAGTTCTGTTTTTCTTCTGACTTCACAAGTTGCATACTTGTTCGAGGTCAGTGACTCCAAGAGTAATGAGGCCAGAGGTAGCCAGGCAAATAGTATTTTCGGAAGGAGGTCATGAATATCAGTCATATTTTATCAGCACATCTCTCAATTAAAGGACACATGCACTTAAATGCATATAAAGTAACCATTCTCATCAAAACCCAATACAGGCTTTACTTACTATCTAACCAATACATGCTTGCAGCTGTCCCTGTTTACAATCTGTGAATGTGTCCCTCACTATCATACTGTGCGGGTCCATCACTGGCTTGATGGGACATGACTGAGGGACATGCAGAATATTGAGGTTAATACTTACCACCTAATCCATAAAACAACCACCCCTTCAACCTATCCCACCTAAATAACCACGCGACTCTCCTTTTGGTGTAAAACCAGCCATAGCAGCCCATTTATTTAACATAACTCTTACATAACACTTCTTACAGTACAATCAAATAATTACTGTCAGTAATGATCCCAACCGGGTCCAAAGTCTTCGAAGGCACTGTTACTCACATCAATAACTCGGCTGTATTTGACACCCAATTAAAAGGTCCCCAGTCGCTACTACACCGCCTCAGGGACAATACTACATTTACGTATGTCCCAACATGACCTTATAATTGGGAAGGAACACCCATACCTATGATGGGCCCAACCCATAATCCACCAAATATCACTCCAGCACCGCCTTCAAAGACCCAGGGACCCCGTCCGGCTGCCATGACAAAAGAGAAAACCAGACAAACACCACAGGACACCAAATGCTGATCAAGAAAAGAAAACAAAATCAAGGAACCCACACAAAACAAACAACAGGACAAACACAAAAAGGACAAAACCAATAACCAAAGCGAACAAAAACAAAACAACAAAACAGCTCCAGGGAGGGAGGACGGGAAAAACCACACCCGTGCTGGCATAAGCTCCGACTGACCTCCGACAAGTCCCAACCCCTCTCCTCATCCTGGCAAGACCACCCTCAAGCTCGCTTACTCCAATCAGGTGAGTAACCACCCCCACCTCCTGAATATACTCCGACCCCAATCCATTCTCCACCTCGTCTGCAAGCTCCAGTCATGCTGGCCCTCCCTTTTAGCTTTGCTCAGTCCAGGCCCTGACTTTCCCAGAGTGCTTCCAGCGATGACCCATTGTATTCTATGATTGTTGCTGGTCTTTGTGTAAAGTATCACCCTCCCAGGCAGGCTGCTAAGTACATTTAGAGTTTAGCTTACTCTATAGTTAGAGAAGCTGGATTTGATTACTGTGTATGTTCATGTTTTCCCCCGGTAGTGGGATTGATTATTTTCCCCTGGCTCTGTTGAGAAACTTCCAAGGTTTAGGGATTGAAATGCAAATCTCTCACCTGAATATTTGCTACCCTCTGGCCAATCCCTGAGAACATGCGCCTATAGGTGGTCAGAAAAAGGGGGTAAATAGTCTGAAACCTTTTTAGACTTGTTCTTTCCTAAAGGAAGGGGGATTGTGTGCTTCAGGGGGCTGCTAAGCCTTGAAGCTTTCCTGATTGGCTGCTATAATACTCACTCCCCTGGATCGAGCCTATGGCCTTGCTTCTACTGGGATTCGTGAGTAGAGCCCAATCTCCTAAGCTGAGAAGCTGAGAGACAAGATGAACTAGACCAACTCTGATCACTCTAGACTATGGGAAATATAGTCTGGGGAAAAAAATCTTGCAAAGGAGTAAATGGGGTGCTGGACTACAACTCTCAGGGATAGACTCCTAAAGCGTTACTAAACCCACAACAGTAAAATCAGTCTGTACAGCATATGCAGTATAGCATGCTTGAAATACACACTGTGGACCCTAAGGGGTTAATCCTCTGCACTGTATAAAAATGCTGTTTGATCCTGACTTCTCTGATCCTCCCCTTCTTTTAGTGTCCCCCTCTAATCCCCTGATAAGACATATTGTGTGGAGACACTCTACACATGCTAAGTTTTGAGTGTATTGCTAGAGAGGTTTTTTTCTCTTGGGAGAGTACATGTGATTAGCACAGGCCCAATCGGCACTGTCCAGACAGAGGTTGAGGGTTCTACATCCTCCTAGAGCGGAAATAAAACTCCTCCTACAAGCTTTAACATGTGCTCTACTGGAGACACTGATAGAAGTCACAAGACTGCTATATTCTGCTGATGAGAAAAGGTATTTAGCAGTTTATATTTACTAAAATAATTGCATTTCCATGTAGTGTGTACTATGGGAGACCAGATATAGTGAATGCAGGGTCTGGGTTTAGTAACATTTTAAGAGGAGGGGATAGGAGCAGTTTGTTTCCCCTGCTGTGGAGAAAAAAATGTTTTCTTGCTGAGGACCAGATTGCTGAGGACTGGAGTGCCCTGAGAGCAGAGCTACTAGCAGATCAGGAAGGAGGGAGACTTCCTATCTGCCTAATAGCTTTAAAAACACTTAATGCAGAGTTTTAAAGGGAGGGTAAAGATATGTACCACTGTAAAGACTAGGCACACTGATTAGCCAGCTGAGAGTTGCAAGTCAGGAGCCATAAACTTACCAACTGCTTCAGAGTTACTAGCAGCCAGGGGTAGCACTCTCAGGATATACTCTATATATTGTATATATACATATACAGTGCGATATATACAGAGTTCACTCTAAGATGTTTATTGACCATTAATTGCAGAGGAGCTACTACAGGATTATTCATCATTACTGATATTGTTCATTGGTAATACTGTTGCTTGTTGAGTTATCTTACTTAGTGATATAGTGATTTAGACTGAGTTGCTATCAGGGGCGGACTGACCATTTGGAAACTCGGGCACTGCCCGAGGGCCCGGGGTCAGTAGGGGGCCCCATGAGATGCCCCTGGTACCTTTTTCATAGGCTGTTTTGAGTTTGGGCAAAGACACAGGGGCCCCATGTTCCCCTATTGCCCGGGGGCCCCATGAGTTGTCAATCCGCCCCTGGTTGCTATAACCTAGTAATTACCTTATTCGGTTTCTTCCACCTGCTCATATCTGTGCATTGCTATTTACAATTGTCCTGTGACAATCTACTTGCTTTTCTTACAATTAAGTAGCTTGATGCCTATTTCCTGATACCCTAATAAAGTAGCGAGTATGATTCAAATACTTGTGCTCCCAGAGGTGTTTGCAGTTTCATATTATTTAACCAGAAGTGTCAGAGGGGACAAAGCTGTTCATAGAGTTGTGTCAAAGAGCTGTAGAACCTGTTATACCAAGCGGCTCCTCGGGGGTCAAGCACTAAAAGTACAAGCATATAAAGTATTATGTGTCAAAAGAAGAGAACAGTCCTAAAGAAAAACTGGTTTTGGGGGTGAACAAATCCCCAGATAGAGATGATAGATGTAAGTGATAGATAGATAGATAGATAGATAGATAGATATAGATAGATAGATAGATTTTTTTTAACATCTGGTACGAATATAATGTCTTATTAGATGTCGCTGCTGTGTAGTCAGTGATGAAATAGAAAGCATATGTCCTAAATAACGAGCAATTTGGGAGCTATCTGGGGTCATTGGGGTAGATTAAATTTAGCTGGGATCAGAGAAATAAACATATTCTCAATACTAAATAAGTTATTTATTATAATAAAATTGCGGGATATTTTAGGCCTTCCTGTTTGGCCATAGTACACTTCACTATGAATAGTGAATTATAGTTGGTCCAGTATGTACAGCACTTTAAAAGGATTGTACAAGGATTGTATATGGCAGTATATTAGACTCACATTTCTACTCAATGATTGGTAATTTTGTAGGATGATTGCCTCTTGGAATGGCTATGTCACGCTTTTCTCAAATATACTTTTTATATAAAAATAGACAATGTTCCTATTTATCTACCATCAAATATATTACACTTTGAGCAGAAATTGCCATTTCTGAGCCTAAGCAAGATCAAAGCACTGCTGTGGATTGGATTGTCTATGTAGACATCCATATGATACAAGAGTATTAGGCAGTAAGATTGTTCATGCTAAATAAAAGGTCACTATGTGTGAGTTACAAACTTGTTTATATAAAAGAGATTTAATTAACAATTTGTTCAACTAGATGCAGAACAGAGAACTTTGAAGAGCAAAGAGTGAAAGCAATGGGGGAGATAGTAAAGCTATCCAGTAATCACTTCAAGTGTGCTAATATTGGGTCCATTTACAATTGCAACTTAGAATACATACCTTTTTTCCAGCCATCCTCTCTTAGGTCATATGATGAGCGAGGTTTCTTTTCTTCTTTTCTTCCTTTCAGGATGGCATGATGTTGCATGTTCTTCCCCAGTTTCATGTATTTTTATGTGTTCTGTTGAACTGCATGAGGTTATAATTTTTCTGTAGCATGCTGACATCTATTCGCAATTTCGGTCCTCTGCAACTTGTTTACTAATGCAATTTTGGTATCTTCCCTCTGTCCTTCCTTCCTGTTTAGAACTAGTTAGTTTAGTTTTGGATGGACCCCTCCACTTCTTCCATGTTCCCTTAGTCAGTATTATTTTATTCTCAGAGCCAGGGCTTGGGGAAAGTAATTGTCTTCTTACACTTATAACATACTGGAAAAACATCCTCTGTACTGCAATTAGTTTAAAATTGCATTGGATTCAGTTTCTGCTTCTTACTGAATAGTTAAGCTGCCGGTGAATGCCAAAGTTGCTGGTGACCATAATGTCTGGACAGACTGGGTCTAAGGAGTTATGTCAATGTGTAAAGCGGCATTTGAAACAGAAAGATGCGGCCACAGGGATTGTGACTATGATGTCCCAGGCTCACTTAAAGTGGATTGAATTACATCCATGGTCATTGAACTCAGAAGATAAAAGGATGTGACTGGATGGAGTAGAAACTCCTGGGTGGATAGTACAGAGGAGTACATATGTCACCTACCTGGTAGAGGCCGTGTTGACAAAGACTGCCTCTAACATCTAATTCCCCCTGGAGTTGATAGTAGGGTGTAGCAGGACAAGGAGTGATGCAGGTGTTTCCGGGCACAGTGGATGATCTGAGGGTAGGCTGGATACTGCTGGGATTCTGTGGATGGACACATCAGATCTACTGCAGAATGCAGGTACAAAGTTGGATCATAGGAACCTATAGATGCAGAAAGCAAACCATAGTCAAGATGAGCTGGAGTCAGCAACAGCAAGGTAGCAGCAGTACAAAAATTGAAGGCTTGAGCAGGATCAGAAGCCAGGCTGGTGTTGACATCAGGCAGACAGTAGAGATCATCAGGCAGAAGACAAAGTCAGGACATAAGCCAGAGGCAGCAATGGGAAATCAAGATACAGTGAAATCAGGAAGAAGACCTGATGAAACATAAAGTAGCAGAATGCAGCTCTGGTCACAGGTTGCAGAAGCTGATGACCATTTGGCCATTCGGCAGCTTCTACTCATTGGGCTCTGCCTTATATGGAGAGATTGGCACCAATACAAGATGTAAAAGCTTGTTTACACCAATGTATACTGTATTAGCGTGAGCATACGTATGTTTGAGCTCATATGTGCACATTGCAGAAATCCTGTGTATTGGGGTGCGGTTTGTAACATGTACACACACAGATCTTCGGGCATGGCCATACATGATATCCTCCTGAAATTAGCAGAGAAAGCTACATTTTTATTTTAAAAAGCTGCTGGGCAAGTGATTTATAATTTTTCATTTTACACTACAGTTGAGTTTTGAATTAAAACAGGGGTTTTCATACTTTCTAAACAAAGGGTCAGATTACTGTCCTTAAGACTTTAGGGGGCCGAACTGTGGCCAGTGGGGGTACACAATGCCCTGGTGTACATAATGTACAGGCTTGGTTGACAATGATGTAAGAAAATTACATAGCACCTGTGCTCAGTGGGAAGAGGAATAGCGCTCCATCATTGGTATTGGTGGGAGGAATATTGCCAATTGTTGGTATCAGTGGGAGGAATAGTGCCCCATCGTTGTTGTCAGTGGGAGGAATAGTGCCTCATCTTTGAAGTCAGTGTGAGGAATAGTGCCCCATCATTGGTATTGGTGGGAAGAATATAGCCAACTGTTGGTATCAGTGGGAGGAAGAGTGCCTCATCATTGGCCTCAGTGTGAGGAATAGTGCCCAATCGTTGGAATTCAGTGGCAAGAACAATGCCCCACCATTATTGTCATTGGGAGGAAAAGTGCCTCATCATTGGTGTCAGTGGCAGGAAAAGTGCCCCATTGTTGGTGTCAGTGGGAGGAAAAATGCCCCATTGTTGGTGTCAGTGGGAGGAGGAAAAAGTGCCCCATTGTTGGTGTCAGTGGGAGGAAAAGTGCACTGAGGGGCGGATAAAGGTAAGCAAAGGTCCCCATATGGCCAGTGGGCTGCAGTTTGGAGACCGATGATTTAAAAAAATAGATGTTCTCAGATCACCGGATTGCTCACAAAGGAGATTTGGGTAGACAGGTGCACCTCAGTCTGAATGGAAAAAAAAAACTAAAAATAAATAGCAGGTAGGCAGGTTAGTTTTCAATTTTGACTAAAAGGTAACGTAAAAAATAAGCTAATACATACAGTTGTGCTCAAAAGTTTGCATACTCTGGCAGAAATTGTGAAATTTTGGCATTGATATTGAAAATATGACTGATCATGCCAAAAAATGCTCTTTTACTGAAGGATGATGATCATATTAAGCCATTTATTAGCAAATAGTTGTTTGGCTCCTTTTTAAATCATAATGATAACAGAAATCACCCAAATGGGCATGATCAAAAGTTAACACACCCTGGAATGTTTGGCCTTGGTACAGACACACAAGGTGACACACACAGGTTAAAATGGCAATTAGAGGTTAATGTCCCACATCTGTGGCTTTTTAAATTGCAATTAGTATCAGTGTATAAATAGTCAATGAGTTTGTTAGCTCTTACGTGGAAGCATTGACTAGGCTAGATACTGAGCTATGGGGATCAGAAAAGAACTGTCAAAAGTCCTGCGTAACAAGGTAATGGAACTTTGTAAAGATGGAAAAGGACATAAAAAGATGCCCAAAGCCTTGAATATGCCAATCAGTACTGTTAAATCACCTATTAAGAAGTGGAAATTTTGGTGATCTCTTGACACCAAGCCAAGGTCAGGTAGACCAAGAAAGATTGCAGTCATAACTACCAGAAGAATTGTTTGTGATACAAAGGGAAACCCATAGGTAACCACAAGAAAAATACAGGCGGCTCTGAAAAAAAGACAGTGTGGTTGTTTTGAAGGAGCACAATCGAGGTGCCAGAAAGAAGCCTTTACTGCATCAATGA